GTACTGACGTTCACCCCGGTGGACGAGCATCTTGCCATAATCCGCATCAAAACGAGATTCTTCAACATCTCCCTCATCTGCGGCCATGCCCCGATGGAAGAGAAGGATGAGGTATCCAAGGATCTCTTCTATGAGCGCTTGGAGCGCACGTGCGAGCGCTGCCCCCGCCAAGATATCAAAATCGTGTTTACCGACGTCAATGCCAGGGTGGGCAAGGAAGGGACCTTTGGAACCACCGTCGGAAATTAAGCCTCCACGACGAAACGTCCGACAACGGGGCCCGAAACATGGTAGTATGTAGTGCTAGGTTCAAGCATAAAAAGTTTCATCAAGCCACGTGGCTGTCTCCGGATCGAAAAACGAGAAATCAAAACGATCATGTTGTGATACACGGAAGGCATGCTTCCAGTGTTTTTCAGGTACGTATACTCAGAGACCTAAACATCGACTCGGACCACTATCTTGTTGCAGCCAAGATACGCACCCGCCTCTGTGCAGCAAAAAATGTGCGCCCAAATATGCAAGGAAAGCTTAACGTCGAAAAGCTGCAATCACAACAGACAGCCAATGCATTCTTCAACAAACCGACATATGCGAGCAGTGGAACCACATTTCCCGCTCATTAAGTATCGCCGCCGAAGAAGTAGTCTAATTTCAGCGAGCCCGAAAAACCACAATATGCCGCCTACAGGGCCACGCTGCGATCGGGGGCAACGTGCGCAATGTGGGACCGCTATAGGGATCTGAAGAGGGAAGGGAGACGTATTTGCCGCAATAAGAAGAAAGAGGCAGAAATACATGAGTGCGAAGAGCTTGAAGTGCTGGCCGACAGGTAGAATGCCCGAAAATTTTACCAGAGAGTTAGGCGGCTTACGGAAGGTTTCAAGATGTTGGAGAAGATAATCAGAGCTGCAGAACTGAAACGCTCAGGAACAATTTACTAGAAGAGCGTGCAATTGCTGGCTTATGCCGATGACATCGGCATTATCGGTAACAAAAACCTCGAAGTCTGTTCTGCCATTTCCAAGTTGGGTAAGGAAGCAAAGCGAATGGGTCTGGTGGTAAACGAGGACAAGACGAAGTATCTCCTGTCATCAAACAAACAGTCAGCACATTCGCGCCTTGGCACCCACGTCACTGTTGAGAGTTATAATTTCGATAAAGTTGAACTACGTAGGCAATTCAGGAGTAAAGTCCTCTCTCGACGTACGAAAACCACACCCTATAAGTCACTCATCATGCCCGTGCTGGTATATGGCGCAGAAGCAGGGACATGGATATGATAACTCATGGAGTATTCGAGAGAAAGATTTTGCCGAAGATGTACGGGCCTTTACGCGTTGGCGACGGCGAGTACCGCAGACGATGAGCTTTACAACGACATGGACATAGTGCAGCGGCTCCGCTGGCTTGATGTCGTTTGAATGGACACCGACGCTCCAGCTCTGAAAGTATTCAACTCGGAACACGCTGGTGGTAGCAGAGGAAGAGAGATAGGTAGGCCCCCACTGCGATGGAAAGACCAGGTGGAGAAGGACTTGGCTTCACTTGGCATTTCCTATTGGCGTCAGTTGACACAGAAAAGAAACGACTGGCGTGATTTGTTGAACTCGATCAAAATCGCTTAGGCGGTCACAGCGCCAAATAAGAAGAAGAAGAAATATTGGCCAGCGAGTGGACGAAAATGATAATAGTCGCATTGGTATGTTCGAATTACATTCGATAGTGACTGAAATTTAACGACAAGTGGTAGATTTACAATGCAAGGAATATCATATAAGTTCACTGATTTTCATTTTATTATACTGCGCCACAGCAAGGCATGGCAGGGTAACTCTAGTTATAGTACTAAAAAATAAATATTGTGCTTTGTTTTATTTCCATTTCTTATCTCTTGCGGTAACACCGGAGCGTTATTGCCGACAAACACCCCTTTGTAATAAAATCAATTTATTTATAAACGTACCGATGAGACTTAAAAATGCGTATTGATTTCAGGTAATTTATAAAACTGACGTTTAATTTAAAACCATACGTAGGAAAAAATAAATATATTCAACAATTTTTATTGAGATCGAGGCCGTTTTTTTAATGAAATTTTATTGTGGAAAAGCAACAATAATTTGAAAAAATGGTAGAAGTGATAGCTATTTCGGAAATCACCANTTTTGTTGGTTTTTGTTAATATTTCTATTATTAGAATGTTTAACATTTATGTAGGTGTGCTCGTCCTTAAGTTATTTGTCTTTGTTATTTTATGGCCTTATAACAATTATATTCAACAATTTTTATTGAGCTCGAGGCCGTTTTTTAATGAAAGTTTATTGTGGAAAAGCAACAATAATTTGAAAAAATGGTAAAGTGATAGCTTTCAAATTGTTAAGGCCATAAAATAACACGCACGCCACAAGTTGGAGGAGAAGCTCGGCCAAACACTAACATATGAGTAAGCGCCAATGTATTATTATGATTATAAGGTCCTAAGTGGGAAAATAATTGCAGCTGCTTTGCACAAAAATCACTGATAGGCGTGCTTTGTTGAACTCAACCAAAATCGTTTGGGCGGTTACAGCGCCAACAAAAAGAAGATTTTAGAAAAAAATACGCTTTTTCAAGAACGACTACTAACTGTTTAGCACTGGCCTTCAGAGAGATCCTTTTCGCTTTAAAAAATGCAGGAATGAATTCAGTCAGTTTAAGTTGTATTGTAGAGAATACAGCCTTCCTTTTGCTTGACTCGATTCGAAACGTGTAGATAATTACTTGATCACGAATGTCGCGTTTCGGACCCAAAAGGGACTTTCTTTAACATTTTTGTGGTTGAGCAAACAAAAAATTAAATGCTTTCGGGGCTTTTGTCAAACTATGTTAAAGGGTTCTTCTTAGAGCAAACTGAATAATTTGGATAAAACAAGGGCAATTTAAAAAAAAAAAAAAAACATATTTCCCATAGCATTTCAAAAATATTTTTTTATGGCGGCTGTGGCTGAGTTGTTAGAGGTGGGTACTACCACTGCCTAGGACCTGGGTTAGATCCTTGGTCTAAGCAACATCTATAAAACTTTTTCTAACAGCAGTCGCCCCTTGACAGGCAATAGCAAATCTCTGAGTGCATTTCTGCACAAAAAGCTTCTCATTAAAACCATTTGCCGTTCGGAGGAGGCGTAAAATTGTACCTCCCTCCATTTGCGTTTTAACATTAGGACCCACACCACAAATTTGAGGAGAATCTCGGCCAAACACTTAGCAAAAGTGTAATAGCTCAGTTATGCATACTTAGGGTTGCATGAGAGTTGTCACATAAGGAATCTGTTAAATGGGCTTTGCGCGTAAGCGGTTACCCAACGGATAGCACTTCACATAAAGAATTCCGTTGAGTTTTGATTTTTACGTAAAAATGGTATAGCAGTGCAAAGTATGCATAGAAGGGCTATAAGCGCCTAAATACTATTATTACACTATGCGACCAAATCAAACTTGTTGGCTCGGTATTGAGTAAAACCAAATGCACAAGTGATAGTTTTAGATGTCAATAAAACTACGTTAATCGAGTTTAGCTCAAATGAGGAAGATATCCATAATTGAATCCTTGCACACAATTTATTGTATAATTAGGTCAAGTTCTTGAGAAATGTTCTTAGCCGCGTTGCCGAATTGACGATTTCGGCCTCATTTTGAAATTTTTTTAGCTCAATGATGATTTGACGATTTTCCCCCGTAATGACGATTTTTTATTTTAGTTTTTCCACTAAGTTACATATGTTTATAATTTGTTAAAAATTTATTACAGGAAAACGTAATCCAAAATTCAACCTAACGTAATCCAAAATACACCCTTGCAGCAATAATAATGTTGATATTGGGCACGTTCAGAAGGCGCAACAGCTCAGTAACTGTTGCAGTTGCACCTTCTGAACGCGTTGTTGTGTACTTCTGATCAACTGAACAGTTGCGTGGTAGATGATCGTAATATTTTTCTGATCATTTGGGACAACATGTTGGTGTGTACCTCTGAGAATTGAATTCGACAGCTAATAAATCAAGCCGTTCAGAAGACGCTTAACGATCAATGATTTTTTTAGCAACGGTTGCAACAATCAACCATTTTTTAATTTAAACACCAAAGAAAGTGATAAATTGCTGTTTGGAAAATTTACAAAATGAAATAATTACTCAAAATAGTTGTTTCAGCGATTTTCAGACTAAAGCCTTTAGAACTGTGAAATTGCAAAATTACACTCGAGCGAGAATAATAAAATAACTATAACGATAATTTTGATAAAATAAAAAGAAGAAAGAAAGTTTGAAAAAATAGTAGACTAAAACAAAATACAATAAATAAATTGATTTCTATTTAAAATATTGATCGCAGTGTTTAAAATTAGTATGTTTAGTACGAATAATGTAAATTTTACGTCGCGACTGCAGTTTTTAATAGGCATCTCTAATTTTAGTATTTATTTAAAAAAAACTCAATGAAATTCAATCAATTGGCCTAACTTCAAAAATGAACTCCTCGTATTAAAATCCTTGATATGAGTATTTTCTAAGAATACTTTTCACGAACTTAACCTAATTAAACAATAAATTGTGAGCAAGGATTGAATCAAGGATATCTTTCTTATTTGAGCTAAACTCGAAAAATGCCGTTAACGTAATATTATCGACACCAAAGAACGTAGATAACAAGAAGGGACAACTCGTTATAATTGTAGTAAAAGTGCGCAACAGGGGCATGCCTTCTCTTTGCATTCAATCAAAAAACGTACTAGGGCAAAAGAGAAGGCACGCCCCTGTTGCTCACTTTCGCTACAATTCTAACGGAGGAGAAGCTCGGCCAAACACTAACATATGTGTAAGCGCCAATCTGTTATTATTATATGTACTCAAATATGCCAACAACTTAGATACATATTCCATTTTATAAAGTGAAGAGCACTTAATTAGATACCGATATTTATTGCCGTTTTAATAACAAATAATTTTGCTATCAAATTTAGCATCTGACAAGCCTGATCTGGGACTAGAAGAACTACAGCAGCTTAATGTACGCTCTAGATTTCAAGTTTTTGAGAATGGAACACAAGTTCAGGAAGATAAAAGCAACGAAGAATTGCACAGAAATCCTGTGAAGCACAGTAATTCGATTCTATCAAAAATCGCGAAACTGAAAGCACAAGGCGTCAGTTCTGATTTAAGCATAAAAGCTATGAGCGAACGGGAGCGCGACGGCGCCAGCGATTACTCTTCGGAAAGCAACAGTGACGCCAGCGATGCAGAAGTCGACGAAAATAGCAACGAAGATGATGACGCGGATTTGGTGCGCTCAAAAAAGCGAACACAGCGCGAGCGTCCCGTGGGTCTGGGGCACGCAATGCATGACATCAAAAATATATTTGAAAAAGGTCACATCATGTCCAAGGAGGAACGTCGCGAGGAACGCAAACAAGAAATACAAAATATACGTTCACGTCTATTTATGGGAAAGCAGGCGCGCATCAAAGAGATGTATCAGCAGGCTGTCGCCGAATCGGAGCAAAGTGAGTGAGCACTCACTCTCTCATTCAATTTTGAAAGAAGTGTGCAAAGACGAATTACAATAGTGGTATTCAGCAAATTGAGCACGTGGCATGGCACTCTGGCAAAAGCGCAGATTAGCTCAAGCAAAGACTGTTGGAACGGCTGTTGCTTGAGCTAATCTGCTCTCTTGCTAGTGTACCAGGCCACTTGCTCAATTTGGTGAATACCTATAATATATTTCTGCAGGAATTACTTCATCGGATAAGAAGCCTGAAATAGAAGTTGAGGGCGCTGCACGATCACTTAAGGAACGCTTTGAGAGAGGTGATGTATTCAAAGATTCCGCGGATAATAGCGAAGAGAACTCGTGCAATCATAGTGGTTTACAAAATGAGGCTGACGTTTTCGAATCCGGTAAAACTTCAGCACTTCAAGAGTTATATCCAACAACTCAATACATTATCATTTTCTAGCAATCAGCAAGAAATCCCGCAGCATTTTTATGGAACTGGATGCTAATGTGGCTGCTGGTAGAAAAGAATTTAACAAACCAATACTGCCCAATCGACAATTAAGTAAGCAATATTCGCTAAACACAAAACGGCAGAATATCGAAAATGAGCCGGAGGTAAGAAATTTTCATATGTATTTCGAACTAGAAAGGGTTAATGACGAAGTCGAGGCAAAGAGGATTTATAACTAAAATGATATTTAAGTTTTAAGGGCTATCGCAATAGGCACATAATCATTTTTTTACACGCTAGGTATCTGCTTCTATTAAGCAGCGGGGACTGCAGAAAATGTGTGGTTCTGTTAAGCTCATCTAACGGTTGATCACCAAAATGGGCTGTTTCGGCCGGTTCGGACCAAAGAGAGAGCAGTGTTTGAAGAGTTGATTTGAGTTGTCGTCTTGAGGGGCATCTTCACATTTTTAGCCTATGTTTAGTTTCTCAGGGTAGATTTTAATTACCAAGATTTGGTAAGAAAATCTATGAACTTCGTAATGAAAAGTCTAAGCTTCTCGAAAATATTGTACGGGATTTTAAAGTCGTATCAGAGCCGAAATCGATAGTATAATACCCCTTGTATCAATTATTTTTTGCTTCTTTCAATTTTCAATTCACTTTTTTTAGTTTTTAGATTATTCTCACTTTTCGTGTGTTCTTAAATTTCCGTTAATTTAAATTCTGTTGAGTTTGACACTTTTCAAGATTTTGCCATCAAAAATTCTTATGACTAAATCTTGTTAATTCGGACTGCAAAGAGTACCTCTCACTGAGAGTTGCTCTCTCATTTCTTCTGTCATTTTCGAGTTAAGAAACGCTTTTTTGACTAAATCTGACTACTTTGGACTATTTCTGACTTTCTGGGATATAAGGAACGCAACTATTATGAGAACTGATTTCATACGATACGCTTGCAAGCGTTTATCGTCTATCGTATGAAAATTCATAACAGGGGGTAAGTTTCCTGTCCCGCCCAAACAAACCGGGTGCTGCAACCGCAGTCAATTAATTTGGTACTACGTAAATGGGACAGCCTTCCATTTTGGCACACAATTTAGGCTTCGGAAATCTTGATAGTTTTACTACATGAGAATGTGAATAAACAGATGCACCGACTCCACAGCCTCACTTGGGGCTATTAATGTAAATAAGGTGGTTCCAGGTAAATAAATCCAATTTAATATCACAGTTGAAAGTCGACGAACCAAGTGGTCTGTACAAAATCAGAACCCTTTAAACAGTGGCTGATAAAAGGAAGCAAAACTTCCTTTGCCCGCTTTATTTTTCCTATCTATGCTACCTTCTCGGATTCTTATGATCGAAAGCAAAAATCAACGATGGTCCTACGCAAACCTCTTTACTAGTTATAATTTAGTAAGAAGATATTAGTGGTATTCACCAAATTGAGCAAGTGGCCTGACACTCTGGCAAAATAGCAGATAAGCTCAAGGAACGAACTGTTGACAACAGTCATTGCTTCAGCTAATCTACCCTTTTGCCAGACTGCCCCTACCCCTTGCTCACTTCGGTGAATACCACTATTATTTATGTAAAGGTGTCCACTAGCGTGGGCCGAAAATCCGCTTTTTTAGAATTTTGATTGGTAATAGCAAAAATATTGTTAACTGTGCTCTAAAAACAATCTGTGTGAAAGATGACAATTTTTGGTCAATAACTTAGGCTCGCCCAAGTCCATTAAGTCCATACCTCTGTATTTAAAGCTTATGTTCATAGGATTCTGGCCCCATAAATTTTTATCCTTCTAAAAACCGCGGAAATGGTTTTTAATTATACCAGTCACTTGGTTACTTGATATTCGATTTTTAAAAACCGAAGCTCCGAAGTAGTTTTCACACAATTGGTACTTCGAAATTGATTGAAAATTTGCTTTTAAACTAATTTTCTACATTCATAAACAAAATAGTTATACATAGTAACATTCTATGGTCACGTACAGACATATTCAACTACTTTTCTGTTATTGTAAGACATACAGTTTCCGATAAGTTAGCAAGACATGCCAAGTATTACTTTTATTTAATAGTTTGAACATTAGTCTTTGATTATGTATATGCAAACACTTTAAGGGTAGTTTTATATATGCTTTAGAAAAAGATAAAATAAACGGTCAGGTAACAGTGGCCACACACGACGGACATGTGCGCGAGCATACTCGGCTTGCGGTGCATGTTCGTCGTTTGTGTATACAAACCAATGAGGCTAAATTGCTATATGTATATTTATGGACACACATACAATTAATATATACATATACATATATTTTATTACTTAAAGCTTGTACTATGCCAATCCCCTCTTGACCACTGTGCAAAATTTTTCGATGGCGTTGATAGCTGGACTTTGTGCTGGTCACAGCATTATGTAAAAATTTTGCTCAAGCAGCCGGTGTTGTCGAATCTTTTCGGAGCTCTCTGGATCTCCGTCCTCCTGGCAAACGACTTCTTCCTCGGGATATGCGCTTTTGCCTACAAAGTCCGGACAATTTGTTTGGAGAATATGAAGATAGACTTCCTTCTTCATTATTCCTTTAATTTTAACTAACGCCACCAAATGCCGCCAAGTAAAACACCCCCAAACTATTAGGCTGTTACCACCATATTAGATATTTTTCTTTACATGGTGATTTTTAAGATGTTATGAGGTCTTCCACAAAAATTTTCCTTACCATCGCTCTGGAAACAATTAGTTTTCATTCAATCAGGTCAAAGTACCCGTTTTCAGTACCCTAAGCTCCAATTCTCTTGTATTTTACAAAATTTCAGTGAAAGCTTAATATTTTGGGGGTATTTTACCTGGCAGCATTTGGTGCCGTTAGTTGAAATTAAAGGAATAAAGAAGAAGGAAGTCTATCTCCATACTCTCCAAACAAATTGTCCGGACTTTGTAGACAAAAGCGCATACCCCGAGGAAGAATTCGTTGCGGGATTGGCATAGCACAAACGAGCTCCGAGTAATATGGAAGTACTTTGGATGCGAGTAGTAGGCAGCGATACATCGGAAGATCTGCAAAGAAAATTTTCCCTTTGGCTCATACATATGTATATACACAACGTTGTTGCATATACATACATTCATACACACTATCAACAACAATACCGCACATATTCGTTTTCGTCCCTGTTTTTAACCGACTTCCAAAAAAGGAGGAGGTTATCAGTTCGTCGGAATATTTTTTTTTTTTTTTTTTTATGTTTGTCACCGCATAACTTTGGACCACGTCAACCGATTTCGGTCTTTTTGCATCGGAAAGGTAGTGTCTCAGAGGTGGTCCCATACTAATCTGGTTGAGATCCGATCAGTGGATCATGAGATATATATATATATATATATATATATATTTTATATGGGAGTTGAAGTCGTTTTTTTTTTTCTAAAAATTACTTGTTGTTTCATATCGAGCAAAGTATTGCTATGTTCGTGCGAATGTGATACAGCGGAAGATCCGCAAAACAAAAATGTTGCTTTTGCCCTGTACACATACCCATATATAAATTTTACATGGTTTATTTCGATGTTATTTTTCTCAGGCAAATATGGTTATATTTGTATTATAAATCTATATATCTATATATAAAAGTACAAAGACAATTTACATTGAAATTAAGCTGCTCGATCTGAAACTTTGCACAAACAACAGCAATTTTGAACAATTCCATTTCTTTACTTTTAATTATGTATAATTTTAAAATGCTGGAAAACTTACAAAAAAAAATCCTGGCGGACGAATAGAGGGATCGGTAAAGTATTTAACACTCTCGATAAATATGCATTTCAGAGAATATGATTATTTTAGTATTGGGGGTTAGAGAAGGGCGATAACTCTCGCCTGGCTCACAAATTAAGATAAGTGCCACAAGAGATTATTTTGCGAGTCATTTAGGTATTTGAACCTCAGCCTGGTGTAGGGTGGCCAGATATTATAGTAACATAATCAGTACAGTTGGGATCAAAAATCAGTACAAAGCCATAAAAATCGGTTAATTTTTAAGCGTATTTTTTATTATTAACAATATAACAACCAAATAACAGCGCATTAATTTAACAAATAATAACTAATAGACTTTTAAATACATATAGTATTATCAATATAAAAATTCATTACTTTAAAACAAATCAAAGGTATTACGTATGTATGTACAGCTGTGCTCACGAAAGTAGTAGTAAAATGTATTGACAGGTTTTGAAAATTTTTCTTTCCTTACATAATTCAAATTTTTTATAAAAATATAGTTAATTCTATAACAAAAGACACGTGAGTTGAAGTCTCAAACTTTCTATAATATTTATAAAAATTGAGAAAATTAAAAAAAAAATTTTAGCCCATTCAGTTTCAGTAGAAGACGAGCTCGAGCCAGAATCTGTTTGCATATTTTAAGCTACAAATTTAAAACATATTTGGATGGTGTGCTTATTAAATACAATATTCACATTAAAATGTTGACTAAAAGGTATATTACCGAATTATCGCTAAACGAATTTTCGAATACGAAGGAAATTTAATAGTGTTAAATGTGTATGTGCAAGTAAAATTACAGGTAGTCGAACATCAAAAATCAAAGTAAAGCTACATATATCGTATCCAAGAGTCGGTAGTTTGCACCTTTTCCAAATATTTAGAACTTACATTGCACCGTAGCAGTAGTCGTCTTAAGTTTGAAATACTGACAGCCGATTTCTCAGTGGATGTTTAATTATAATCAAAAGATTATCTCTTATTGTCATTTTCTCAGTGTACTTAATATATGATTAACTCACCACCACCTTTCATAAGATTTATTAATGGCGAAACCAGCTTTTCCTGGAAATCCTGTAAAACCTGCAAATCGTGTAGTTGGGTTGGGTTGAATCCAAACAGTTTGTTATTTTGCGAAATCCTAGGAAACGAAACAATTGCAAGCTGACACCTTTTTAATAATGGTTTAAATTTAATTAATGCTTTCAATCTGCTCACACGTATGAGCTGTTAAAAACCATTGTTTTAAACATGTAAATCTCAAGTAAATGTCAATTACACCAACTTACAAAAGTATTTATTAAATGTGAAAATCAGTACAAAATCAGTACAAACTCAAAAAATTAGTAGATTTTGCGTACTGATTTC